CTTATCATCGATCTTTAAGAATTTAGCAGATGTCTTCTTCGTGTTTTCTCCATTCATTTTAGACGTCGAGTTCATTCAGGTGAACTAATGGGCCGCGATCTAATCAGGGCTTGAAATTCAATATACAAGTTTTCTCACGAACGGTTCGTTAAAAAAAAAAAAAAAAAAAAAATCTCTCTAGAGACATATTGTAGAAGGATGAAAAAATACAGCTTATTGGCCTATCTAATTTGCTGATTGACTACAGTTTGCAGTGTGTTTTAATTTTTTCGATTAAGAATAATGAATTTAAAATAAATAAATAAAATTGACATCCCCTTGAAGAACCCAACCTTTGCTAGGTTCATACCATGCAACCAATGAGGCCAAAGGCGAGCCAAAGCCATTTTTCTTTATAAGCCGACCTAGGCTCATATCAATGGTAGAGTTGAGCTCATATTTTATTGAGCCGAGTCGAATCAATTGCCGTCCCTAATTTGTGTTCATAGGGGGGCATAAGTGGGCATGATGGGTTGGGTGATTATGGTGGTGACAATGGGTAGTGTTGGGAAGGCAGTGTGTTGATGTATGGATCGGTGTATATATGGATTGTATATGAAGTGATGCTATTTGTATATTATAGTGTATATGATGATTTACAAATAAATGATATGAAATAGAGAGAAAGAAATCTAAAAAAATAAAAAAAAAATCAATTATTTCAATAATTCTTTCTTCCATGTCATCTATCTGTATATCATTATGAAAACAATGATATAGAAATATCATTATTCTAATAATTGTTTTTTCTTTATCACTTTTTTGTTATTTTTAATGGGTTTATGTAGTCGGACTCATCAAAATCTCCTAATTTATTAAAGATTATAAAAAAAAAAAATGCGATGGAAAACTGGTTAACGATGAAATTACCAAAAAATAAATTGAACATAGTTTGAAGTTATATAAATTAATTAAATGAAAACAATCCTTACTTTAAGCATAAGTCACTTTTAACTATAATAATAAAAAATATGTTTTTAAAAAATTTATAAATGAAGTTTTTAAACTTAGTCAAACATGTTTAAATTCAAAACCTCAAATAAAAAAAAAAGTGTGAATAATTAAAATGTGTTATGAATTGAAGACGATAATAAAAAACACCAACAGATATAAGTATATGAGGATATGTTCAATACTTTCCTTTTTACTGGTTCTAGTATTTATTTAAATAAATACTAGAGGAAACACCTAACAAGGAGACCATTTTACCATATATTTTTCATAGAGGGTTATGCTAGACGAATAAGGCCAATGTGATCCTTTCCAAGAAGAATAAGTAATGAATAAGTTGGTAGGCATGAAAAATGATACTAATGATTAGAATGTAGAGCTTGTCGATTTGTCATAGTGCTTAGTAGATTAGTATCACAAAAGTAATGCTCAGTTTAATTCATTATTAAATGATCATATAATCTAAAATTTATTGGCGGGTGCCGGGCGGAGCTAGGATTTGAGTTCAGTGCAGGCAACTTTTTTCGACGCCGAACTTCAAGGTTTTTGGTCATGGATTTTGTGATGATAAAAAAATACTCCAATTTCACATTTCACTGAAGAAGTTTTTGGCTGCACCGAAGAAGTTAGATTCGTTGATTGCACCGCCATTTTGGTTATTGACAACAACGGCTAGTCGGGCGCATTGTTGCTCTGAGGTTGAATAGTGGGCAATTGGCGTCGCAAGGATCAGTGGAGTCCAAAATTGGGAGTTCTTCAACTTTGCCAGAATTGGATAGTAGAATTCTTCAAAGTATAATCTTGAATTATTTTATTTTATATTTTCCTCAAAATATAAGGATTTATAGTTTTCTTGTTTTCATATAACAATCTTGATCTCCTACCTCAGCAGGCAAGACAAAAATTTTGAGGTTTTCGTACCACATCAGCATTGTGAAGCTTTTATCCTCTCACTAGGTATATGGGATTAATTATATTTCATGTAAATGCTTGATAATGGTCACAATGTGTTGTTTCCGAGTCCTCAATAATTTTTTGTACCTTATAGTAGGATTATGTTGCACTTAAGAGATATTGCACTAGGTACTTGAGTTTGATTATTAATAATATTCAAGATGAAGAAAAATACATAACGCATCGGATTGGAGCAGATTTGATGAAATTAATAAGTGTTGTTATGGTTCTACGTGATTGGAAGATTCTCTACTACAAGCTTAAAGAAAAGTTTCGTAATGAATAACAAGGTCATGGATTTAGTGATAATAAAAAAAATACTCCAAATAATGAATTCACAGTGCAATACCAACATATACTCTCAATCCAGTGCAATTCACATTTTACAATTTCACATAATCAATTCACTGTCCAACTCGCAACTGGACAATGCAATTCATAACATTTCCAAATCTTAAGTAACTTGAACTTACAATTTCACAGTCCACTGAAAGCCTGGAGTCTGCTGTCCGTGCCTCTTTGAGCAATCGAAGTCCAAAGTACTAATATATATATATATATATATATATATCATTACAATTTACAGAAATCGAAATAACAACAAATAAGGGGAAAAAAATTCAAAACCATTCTGGACACTGCTATACTGGTGGAAAATTGAAATTGGGATTTCACCTTCTTTTGGCTTCTTCTTTTGCTTGGCTAGCTGCCTTTGATTGTTGGAAAAAAATTTATTATATTTTTCAATAAATCCATATTCTTCCATGATCCTGGAGCCACCTATTATTATGAGCGTGTATGTCAAGTTGAAATGCTATAAAGTAGTTAAAAATGCGTGGTCCCTCGTTATACCAAGTGACAATGCTGCATTCTTTTTAGGGCAAAACACTCTTTTCAGTGGTGGGAACTCCACACAATGAAATCAGCTTCGTTTTCCCATTAACAAAAAAATGTTTATAAATTAGTGACTGTACTATTAACTAGACCAGACTTTACTTAGAAACATTTCATAATCTGAAGTCTACATTCATAAGCTATTCTAGAAAAATATAATAAAAAAATGGTAGCTTGGGAAGATATTTACAAAATAGTGGTGGCCATGGTGCCATTTTACGCAGCATTGGCGTTAGGCTACGACTCCATAAGGTGGTGGCATATGTTTAAACCGGACCATTGTGATGCCATAAACTGCCTCAATTGCTATTTCATAATGCCATTTTTCACCTTCGAGTTCACAGCTCATGTAAATCCTTATAAGATGAATTATCTCTTCCTTGCCGCGGAAAAAAAAAAAAAAAAAAAAAAAAAAAAAAAAAAAAATTCTGGGCTGGAGTTCAGTGGGTGCATCTGCCCGCACTCGACCTAATGGGGCTCCGCCCCTGGGCAGGTGCATTACGAGTTTCTAATATATTATTAAGAAATTTTTAATTAAAGGTCACACAATTTACATGTTCGCTTCATGTTGATCATCCAACTTCAATTTGGATAAGTTTTGATTACTACAATTCACATTTTTTCCCCACTAGGCTAATCAGAATGCATGATTGAATTCATTTATTATGTAAGGGTATTATCAGAGCGGATACATGATTAGACTAATTTCTTTCTTCTTTTTTAAGTCGGGCTAATATATTTAAAAAATTATAAAAACTATGTTTTTTTTCACTATTAAACCTTATGTACAAAAAAAAAAAAAAAAAAAAAAAAAAGGAATCAGTAGTAAATAAAATTTTGCCCCTATTTAATTTTCACCAAATAACAAGGGCTTAATTCGAGTCTAAAATCATTTTATAATTTACATTCAACTAGTCTTTTACTCAAAATTTTATTTCCTCACAATGTTCTTTTTTTTTTTGGAAAATAAGTAGCACCAAAAACTTGCATTTGTTTGAATATAAAATAGTCCCTTTACGTTCTTTAAGTGAATGTATAATCTCATTAATCCACCATGATCGAAGACTTAAAGGTTTAAAATGGTTAGTGATCATTTATATCCTTCATCTACACTATTAAACTTTGTATAATTCTATTTGTATAACTAAAGGTGTACCGAATTGTTTATTTCTTCTCACATGCACGCGAGACTCACGTGAATAAAAAAAATTCCAATATGTGATTCCTACCCCTATTATGAGTAGTTGGTAAGGGATTAGGTAAAAAAATCAATACATGTAGCATAGTCCTCAAACCTTACACCAATTAAATCATGAATCATGCCATGAGTACAGGCAATTTTGGTAGAAAATATTTACAGACAATACTTGGCACATATTCATTGGAAGACAAAATAATTATAATAAAAAAACAAAATAATTATAATAAAAAAACAAGAGAATCACATTTTGCCACATAGCTTTGATAATAAATCTATCAAAAATTCTCAAATCATTGGCTTTGTTTAGAGGGCATTCCCAAATTTGAGCAATAAATAATGCCACCAAATCAACACACCGACGCATCATGACTAATAACTTCCACTTAGGTCTAAAAATAGTATTGATTTGGACAATTTATAGAGAGTCAATATACAAGATTTCATCCCAAAAGATCATTGCCCGACATAATAAAAAAGATAATGGAAATTATAGAGATCCTTTTCATTTTGGAGTGACCAAATTGACACACATAACTAGCCTTCTGGGGCGGACCTACTTGAGACCCAGTGGGGTCGGCCGCCCCACCCGATTTCCAAATTTTCAGTTTTTCTCCAAATATTTTTAGGTTTTCAGATTTTTTTCTCCAATGTTTTTGGTTTCTGTCCTAAGGCTAGCCTTTATTGGGTGATACAAGAAGTTGGCGACGTAAATTTCAAACTCAACAACATAAAAGCTCGGAAGTTGTCCTTGATATAAAGATTCTACAATAGATTTTTGCTTCTCCGAACATCATGTTGGAATTATATCCAAGAAATACAAAATATTTTGTACTGTAATGTGTCTGCCAAATCTCCATCCCATATTTGTTTAACGAGAAATGACTATTTTGGCTCCGACCTCATTTGTTTTACGAGAAAATTATGGTCGAGCTTCTGCTAAGAAAGTAGGATGGTAAGAATGGAGAGCACATCAACAGCAAGAAAATAATGCAAATCGCGCAAGTGTTCAATCAAGAACCAAGTTGAGAAGGCTTGTAAGAAGCGAACAATGAAATCAACAATTTTCCTGCAAAAATAAGGTGAAATATCTATTCCTCAGTGACAAAACATTAGCAACAACTATGATGGTTATAAGTATCAGTGTAAATTCTTGTCTACCGTGTTTTTCTTCGCGACTTACCATTGAAAATAAAAAACTGGATTTTGAACTTTCTTGGATCATACCTGGAGAATGTCCAAGCAAAGCGACAATGTAATTGGTTGCAATAGTTTTCGTGCTCACTCTATCAGTCCCGGATGATAGGTTGTGGCGCCCACTTGAGATGCAAATTCAACCTTCCTGATGGTGTCCCGTCTATTAAAAAGGTATCTGTAATTTCTTCCTCTAATATAACCCTTGTGAGTGTCATTATGCATCTTCCCATTTTGTCCTGAACATAGGTAGAATATCATGCTAGGCTTAAATGGAAGTCTGACCTCTTTTTAGGTTACTTACTTTACCAATGAGTAAAGATTTTATCCCCTAGAGGGTTTCCATTCTTGCCTGTTTTCCAAGAGCAATTCTTATTCTTATGCAATAGCGTTCGTCTTTTTAAAATATATTGTTAAAATTTTAAATATTTCTGAAAAAAAAAATAGTACTTCAACGAACAAAGTTGAGTTCATTATGAGAATTTACCTTCCCAAACGTGTCATGATCCCAAACTTCCAACATCAACAACTCATGTAGCCCATCCTCAACAACAAAGTCAAATGTTTGATTCCAAACTGGATTCAAGGTGTCATTTAAAACCTATAATGAGAGGGAAAAAGTTATTACGTTACGATACCAAAAATTCCGAGGAAGGGGAAACACCAGGGTTAGGTATTGAATTAACCGTAAAAATGAGTTATCTTTTTCGTATGCATTGAATCACTTCATCTAAAAACATAAACTAATAGAGAGAGAACAAATTCACTTTCTTAGTCGTCCTCACATGCCTCATCATATTCATCTTTTATGAAAGTTCCTACATGTGGACAAGTTTTATAAACGAGTGACAACAAGCTATTAGAGGGGGGATGGATTTATATACTTAGTTGTCTTCAACACTTTATTTTGCCTGGGGATGGGGTGTGTGTGAAGTATGCGCTAGAACAACTGTTTATTCCAAAGGTCAGTAAGAATCAGCAAATCTCACCCGACTCTTGCTCTTCTGATCAGACTTCTTCATCGTTAGTACAACGAAAGGATCCGATTTTCCCCTGAGATCAGTACTCGGCAAATCTTCTGCAGATAGTACTGTCACTGAAAGAACCCCTCTAATAACAAAATCCTTTTTCGTCGAGGCTGAGTTCACTAGGCTGGCGGAATCTATTCCCCCAGTTCCTTGTAAAAGAGCCCTTTCCATGCTAGTTAATCCAAAGTCAGGGTTAGAAGGATTCATAAATGCACTCTCAGTGCCGAAAGGACAATACAAGAGCTCCAAGTGCACCTACAATTAAAGAAATGATATCAACGAAAACTAGCCATGATAAGTTTTAAAGCATCCCACGGAAAATGATACACTCATTAGGACACATTCAACGAAATTGTTTTGCAAATAGCTACCTTGTGATTCGAGGATGTTATGTGCCCTACTGCAATAGCACAAGCTTTCCAATTTGATCGAAATATGTATATTAAGTGAGGAAATAAAATAGAGAATGAAAGTTGGTATAGTTTTATAGTGTAATGTTTGGTGTTGGATAACTTGCTAAACATCGTGGCCTACCTATAGCTGTCCATGCTATTTTAGTATCAAATGCTATGGGCACTTTATTTTAGTGGATAAGCTTTGGACAGTTGAAATTGAACCACTCTGATAAGTATATTTTATATACTTATTCGTGACTCTAAAATAGCGATATTTAATAGTCTTTTGGCGAAATATATTCCTAAATTGTTGTTTTTATGTTTAATAGGTGGATTTCTACGAAAAAAAGGAATGAAAGGAAAGAAGCAAAAACGGATGGAAATAGCAAAATCCCAAGTACGTGGATTAAATTGGCCATTGGATACAATTTTTGGGAATCAAAATCTAACTATAAAAAGTGAATTGATTTGCATCGCTTCAAAAATTTAGTACTGGGAGAAAAATAATTGATTAAATGACCTTCAATTGGACTGGCCTTGGAATTCAAATTTAATATTATTTTGGACCCCTAATTGGGCTACAACAAGGGTTTAATTGTTGAGGTATATATATACAAACACATGTAGAAAAAAGAGGGGGAGCAGCCTGGGGGAATATATAGATATACATTGTCGGCTGCTAAGAGAAAGAAAAAGGAGGAGAATTCTGCCTATTGCTGAATTAAAGATACATACACTTAAGGCTGGGAATTGAGCTTTGAGTGGCCAATTTAATATATTGATACGCACAGAAACCAAAGCCGGGTGAAGGAGGCAACTGCCTTGGAATTCAATTCATAATATACGCACAAGAAACGGCAGTCTGGGAGAAAAAAAAAAAGGGCAGCCAATACTCTATATTATTTACGCACACTTTGGGGCTACCAGTTGCTGAACAATATTATATATTTCTCACGCAATTTGAGGCTGAAACAGAGAAGAATATACATACGCACAGGAACGACAGCCTGGGAATTGGTTGCTGAATTTTATTATACAAAGTACAAGAGGGCAGCAGCTGTCGGAGGAACAGACGGGCAGAAATTGGAATAGTCGAACATTGAGGCAGAATATATATATATATATATATATATATGCAGACAAAGACAAGAATTGCTGGAAGAAGACGACACACGCAGAAAACATTGAAGAGGAAAGAGACGGCAGAATCATTGACACAAAAATTAATCACGTTTCGTCGAATTTTTTGGTGATGTCGTTTCACTTTTATTTATTTAATTCTCGCATCATGTTTGGCTAATTCCTTTTCACATATTGGATGATGATAAAATTGTTTAATTTTTAATTTTAATTCAAGACCTATGTTTTTATGTTAATCATTGCGTTGTGATTCCAATAATATGCATAATTAGATTGTTTTAATGTTTGCGCATCATTAGGATAATAAGTTGCTTTTTCGTAGTGTTGGAAAACTCACGATAGGTAGAACATTATTATTGGGACATATGGGCAATAAATATTAGGAATAGTATTTGTAGCATATGCGATCTTATATGATAATCCTAATTGTCAATGCATATTTGCTAGATGAATTCGGACTAGGAATATAATCGTCTCGTGGTAATCACAGGTTTATTATATTTTGGAAAAGAATAATAAATAAATAAATAAAAACGAAATTATCGATCGTTGCAATTGCATAAATTGAGATAATTATTATTGGTTGAGAATTAGAACTAGGAATTGATCAATGCCGTCGGAAATCCAATACGTTTACACATTTGAATTTTTAAACCAAATTTAATTATTTTCACAAGTTTTAGTTATAAAATTATTTAGCTATTCCATCGATCGTCTTTTAGTTACAAATACGAATTAAATATATCAAATATACTAAAATTGATCCTTATTCCTTGTGGGACGATAACTCGTTCATCACGATTATTACTTGTACAACGAACCCGTACACTTGCGGGATTTTGACGAACACACTCCATTAAGTGGTTGAAATTGAACCACTCCATTAAATGTGCCAATGGCGTTGAAGCATCTGTGTCACGTGAATTAAAGAATAAGTGCTGAAGGAGAGAGGAAAATTTGTTGTTACGCGAAAAGGTTTATTCAAGGAAAATGTGATGAATAAAACTGTGTAGTGGAAGCTCATAAGAAAAGAATTGTTTAGGTTTTGTTTTATTATACGTGGTATGATATAACCATTTAATGTGTTACATTTTCATCGAAAGTTCAAATAGTTACATAAAGATAAGTACACGTAGCATGTTTTCAAGAAGAGATAATACGAGACTAACCAACAATGTTGAGCCTCCTAAATTCAATGTAGTAAGATGATTGAGATTGAATGAGCATAGGAATTCTATTTTTCTTTTACCCATAGTTACTACAATTAAACATTTGGTGAATCCATAGAATGGTTTGATGAGAAAATAATTTTCTGGTCTAGATCCATTGTCTCTCTAGTTTGCAATATAAATAAGTGAATAAGATATTCATTTATTTTCATGGTTAAGTGAATCTATGCAATAAATTTAATCAATTAAGTAAAATTTCTTTTTCACACTTTTTTAAAGCTGTTACGTAATGAGTGATTTACACTCATTATATTATGCCATTAATTTCATGATTTTGCTATTTTGGAGAGCATTTTAGAAGTGCTAACAAGTGATTTTGGTGTTGTTTTGTAGATTAATGGAAGTGGAGAAAACAAGGGCTAAAAGAGGTCAAAGGAAGGAAATAGGCAAAAGCTAGCGAAATTAGATGAAAGGACCAAAACGTAAGAGATTCAAAGTTCGAGGATTAAAATGCAATTAATCAAAAGTCATGTCGAAACTTGAAATGAAGGTCCGAGAGTTCTAGAAGCCAATTGGATGAAGGAAGGTGTCAAAGGGATCAAATTTAGTCAAGATATGATCATAAATTATTTTCCAACCAAAAAGTTTTGCGCCGGAGTTTTCGTCTCACATTTAGACTCATTTTTTGACATAGAAAACGATCGAATTGGAGAATGATTCCTGAAGAAAAATTGTAGTCCTTCGAATTATCTTTCCAACGCATCTTGAATCACTTTAATCGGATATCGAACGAAAAAGTTATAACAAAAATACTGAAAGCTGTCCAGTACAACCGAAGTAGTTATCAGCGCCTAGGCGCTATCCATCAGCGCCCAGGCGCCATAATGCTGAAATTTGGACAGAAAGTCAGCGCCTAGGTGCCCAAATTGCAGCGCCCAAGCGCCGCCGTGCGAGAGTAATTTTTTTAGGTTTTTACCATTCTTTTTCGGCCCAACTCATCTCAAATATTTCCCTAAACTCCAAGACAATATAAATACAGGATTGAAGACCTAAATGAGGGGGGGAGCCGCACACTAAAAATCGATGGGATCAAGCCACGCGTTCTTGACATATTGGAGAGAAAAACAACAAGAAGGGAGATTCAAGGGAGGAATTTAAGAAGATTAACACCAAGAATTGAAGATTGGAAGCACTCATTGGAAGAGGAAGGAGATCTTGGTGCAAGAATTCCATTTTTTCTTCCACATCTTTATTTCAAACTCGGTGATGTATTCTAAGACATTCTCCTATTTTTCTTCCATTATTATGAGTAGTTAAATTTCATGTTAGGGCGAACAATGTAATCTTTTGGAACCCTTTATTTCATGCAATTGAGATTCTAGTACTTTTTTATTTCATGTGTTGATTTTAATATTGTTCTTAATACATTTAATTACTTGATCACTAATTAGATGATTTGTGAACAATGATTGCGTAGAGATGCGGATTATTTGTTTAGACCACATGTTAAAATCCGGTAAATTGATATAATGTGTAGAGATACCTATATTGATTGCTGCGGTCGGGTGTGAATTCTTAGAACCAATGTTTCGTTTAATTAAACTTAATTTGCATAGAGATATGGAATTAAACTAATTAAGTAGGCTCAATGAGAATTCGAGAGGGGTAAGTTGAATACAATAGAAGAATTCGACCGAACACTACCTTAGGTTTTATGAATCTTGATTTATGAAGTAAAGGTGACCAATAGGTGAAATTGTTCCGCCCTAACGTCCATTTATTGTTTGAAAACTCAATCACTTTTCATTGAATCCAATCACATTTTTAAGTCTTTAGAATAAAAATCACATTTAATCATTGTTTTTTATTTATATTCGTCAAATAGTAGTTAAAGAAAGATTAAATTAAGTGCTACAAAATAGTCCTCGTGGGATCGATAACCGGACTCTTAGGTCCACTATTACTTGTTACGGATCGTACACTTGTGAAACAAAATTTTACAACATTACACGTCGTCATACAAGGCTCTTATCATTGGCTACATTGCAGCCAATTAAGGGAACAACAAGAATCCACCTAAGGCCGACAATCTACATTACTTTGCTCACTTGGCCTATAATTGAAGCCGTGACAAAGGAAGCCGAAGTGAGCTAAATGCCCCAGTTGACCCAACAAAACATGTGGAGGCCGAACCTCCAAGTTTGAGGCGAATCATCATGATCGGATTTTCAAAGTTGTGAGCCTTTCACAAGGAATCTTTCATAGATCTGCCTTATCAAAGAGATTTTTTGTATGATTAATTAATTTTACATATCTACAGCAAATGTCTCTTAGTCAACTTTTCATATAGTAGATCTAGAAAATACTGTGGCTACTTTTAGAGTCATTTAATACTACCTCAACTTAAGACATCGGAGGTGATGCATATGACATTGATGCGCGATCGTTAAGATAAGGCAACGTGCCATCATTCAATGGTAATTACTTTTCATATTTTATAGAGCGAATTCATCTCATCCAACGGTAGTCACGCTACAAAGCTAATTCCTTTAAATCCCTACATAATCAACTTAAAATAGTTATAAAGTGAATCTAATAATTAGTGAGATCATGAATCCATAGACTTTCAATAAAATATTTGTTATGTATGATTTCTATAAAATCATTTCCAACAATTTCTAACAAATGTGTTGTACTACACGTATTATGTAATACCAAATACCTAGTCAAATCTTAGTAGGTTTAATTGCAAATTCCAAGTCTTTCGTTTACTTTGGATCCAAATGGGATTTTAAATATGGCAACTCCCCTTGTATAGGAGATTGCTGCCAGAATTGTGTGTTTACTTCTTCATTTTTGGTCAAGGTCTAATCAGATGCTACCACATGTCCTTTATTAAAAATCTGAAAAAAATAAAAATAAAAAATCCTTTAAACATTTGTGTTTGATATCCTTTTCAATTTTCAAAGGCCGTAACCAATTCTTCTAGAGTTGAGTTGACTTTGTTTATGTACTTGAAAAAATCAAATTGCTTTGTAGGTGGGCAATTATTTTTATGCAATTACTTAAATATAACTAATTTAACCAATCAACGAGGACGTATTCAAACTCTACTGGTGTGGCCTCGGAATATTCCAACCATTAAGGTTAGGGCTTGGACAAGAGCATGTTTGGCAAAGTTAATTTGCAAACGTTAATGTTGCTTCTAAACATGTTTGGACACATAATTTTTTGTTATTTATAAATACAATTTTACATATTTGACGGTAAAGTATGAGTTAACTCTAAAATAAACAATTTATTGTAACTTAGACCAACAAAAAACCTTACATGTTTACTTTAAAGTAGAATTTTAAACCTTACCTAATGTTGCTTCTATCTCACATCCCTTTAATCACAATTCAAGTCACGAATTCTACAATTTTATAATTGTTACATATAGAATGGTCAAATTGTTATCAAGAAAATTAGGTTGTGGAAAGAAAAAAAATGTGGAAAATGAAAGGAAAAAACTCTCCTTGTCATTGGAAGATTAGGAGGAATGGAAAATGATAAAGAAAATTGACTTCTTAGCTTGTTCGTGCAACTTCAACCATTTATTTCCAAACCATCTATCTAAATTAACAAAACAAATATCATGAAACAAGGACCCGTCTGGTACACTGAATGAAGACTATTAAAGAAGAAAGAAATGTAAAAAAGTTTATTTCTTATTGTGTGCAATATTGAAGTATAATTTATTAGTGAAAAATTATTAAATACGTGATTGAAAAGTTAATAAAAATTGAAAATTCTATGAAATGTATTTATAAAATTAATTATTTATTTCAACTCAAGTTTTTATCAACTTTTAAGCAAAACCAAACAAACACTTACTAATCAAACAAGCCGCATATAATTATAAATGATCAATTAAGGCCCTAAACCATGGTTGATGAAATTATCACAGTTATTATCATAGTTATATGTACGCAGCCGCCAAGTAAGGCCAAGCAAAATGTTGAAACGTTGACTCAAAATTAAAATCATCAAAATGGATACTACAGTGTTATTCATATATCTTCGTCCCTCTCTCTATAACTACAGTGTTATCCATAAATCTATAAGATACTACACTGAACTCAAAATTTCTTTGGTTTATTTAGTTCATTAAAATCATCAAAATGGATTCTCGTACATTGGAAATCAACGTTATGTCTGCAAGGGATCTAAACAAAGTCAACCTCATCATGAAAATGGACGTGTACGTCATCGTTTCAATCTTCGGCGGGGACAAGAAATCGAAACAGAAGACCAAAACGCCGGTGGATAACGATGGAGACAGCAATCCCACTTGGAATTTTCCTATAAAGTTCACGGTGGAGGAGGTGGCGCTCAAGCAAAACCGCCTGAATCTTGTGTTCAAGCTTGTGTGTCAGCGTGCACTGGGGGATAAAGACGTTGGTGAAGTGCATGTGCCGTTAAAAGAGCTTCTTGAATCTCCGACGGCTGCCGGCGGAGGCGGGGATGGGAAACAGCAGAAGTTTGTGAGCTATCAAGTGAGGAAACCCAGTGGGAAGCCTAAAGGGAAACTCACTTTTTCGTACAGGTTTATTGAGAAAGTTGCCGGTGGGTTTGCAGCGGCGCCACCAGTTCTTCCGCCTGTTGCGACAAAAGTTGAAGATGACAAGCCTGTCACCGCTTTTCCAGCAAATCCGATGATGGCAAGACCTAGTTCTATGTATCCTCCGCCACCGCCTGTAGGGTATCCTCCTTATCCAATTGCTGAGGGAAATGCGCAGTATCCACCCCCGCCACCGCCGCCTGGAGGATATCCTCCTCCTCCTTCCGGATATGGGTACCCACAACCACCTCCACCCTCTTATGGTGGATACCCGCAGCCTCCACTGCCAGGATATGGGTACCCCCAACCACCACCACCACCACCACCAGGGTATGGCTATCCGCCGCAGCCGGCGGTACAGCCGCCAAAAAAGAACAAATTTGGCATGGGACTAGGTGCCGGACTGCTAGGAGGTGCTATTGGCGGGCTGTTAATTGGAGATATGATTTCGGATGCAGGGGATTGTGGCTTTGATGGTGGATTTGATTTTTGATTTTTGATTTTACATTTTCTTTACTTCGTTGTTATTAGTTATTATTATGTGGGTGTATTTCAGATTTGGGAGCTGCCAAGCTTTTGCCTTTTGGAGTAAGTTGCACCGTATATATTTATAAAAAGGTTGAACCGTATATTTATATGATGTAAGAAAGTTGTGCAATGATTTTTTATCATCAAGATGTTATTAGACGATCAGTTGGAATGGGAGAACCATATATATTGGTACAAATTTATTACAGAATAGTCCTTAAATCGATTTTATTAAATTTACTTCTACATATTTTGTTCAAATGCTCAAAGATTGAGAACTCATTAGTCAAAGAAGACCATGACTAATGCATGCCTCTTGCTTGATGAACATTAATGATGAAGACATCATAAATGGCTCACGAGCATTGCTACTGTCTTGCGTCTTATCATAGAGATTGCAACAATTATTAACTAACTCTAAACGATTATGGAACACCTAGTCTGCAATTTTCGCCTAGGTCCACAAGTACAAATTCTTGTTCTCTTTTCCTAACTTGAACTACTCGAATTGAAACACATGTATGTGTATCTTGTTATTCTTCTTTGTCTTGTGTAGAGTGTATGTATTAAAGAGGACTTTTATCCTCTAATTTGGTCTTTTCATTGGTAAACTTAAGTCAAAATAAATGAAGTAGATAATACAATGCAAGATAATTCGTAAGAGGATTTTGCCCTTATTTGATAGGGATTAAAATCAAAATTTTAGTAGATTTTGATAATGGTTGTGAGTCGCATGAAATATATTTGTAACATTAATTGTTGATGTTGATTTAAATTAAAATCTAAATTTGAATCTCTACCAAACAAGGGCTCTATATAGACAGACCCATAAGCCGAAAACAAAAAACTAAAAAATATTTCCATTTAAAATTATTTTTACTGATCTAGACCATTAGTGAAAAGAATAAAAAATTACAGGTAAACAATATGTTAGTTCTATTGGAAATCTACTTAACATGCACAACGAAAATTAAACAAAATTTTTAATTCCTACCAAGGATCTTCTTTGTGCTTAGAGAGAAAATATAATAAGAATTATACCTTTTGTAGATTTTACAAACTCCTTTGCTAACTTGATAACACAAACAATCAAGATCTACAATTCATAGTTGTCCAGCCTCTAATTGGCATTGTGTATACCTCTCAAATATATATGGTTACTCATGATTCAAAAAACATAAATAAGGAAAAGTAAAAAAATAATATATATTATGGTTTTTTTATCAATTAATGTATATCAATTAATTTAGTTAATTGATTTAACATGGTTTTTTTTTTTTATCAAATTCATGACTCTCTCACATAAATTTATAAAATTCATATTTGACTTTCAGTGGGTTGAGATCTCATTTGTTATATTAAGACTTTGAATGTACTCAACAAGCCTTAATAAAACATCTGTGATACTATTATCAATTGTATCTCCTTACAACTCTAAAATCATTAAGCTGAACAACTCTTTGTTTTCATACATTTTATGTGTTAGCTTAATATGACTCTCAAATTTATTTCATTGAGTGTACTCAATAAGGGATAAACTTTAGTTAAGTCAAATCCATCATTCAAAAATATCTAATATTTCATAGTGTCAAACATATTTATAATAGACCAGTTTTGGGTGTGCTCAACAAGTTGAGATCAATTGAGGACTCTGATTTTTCATTGTAATGATGGAAGGCGAGTAATAAATTAACTTAATATTTTAGTGAGGGATTTATAATGCAAATGTCTAATCATAATAATTATAAATATTTTATCACACATCTAACATGCAAACAAATATACATATAACAATGTGGATGATTATGTACTAATTATATCTAGACTTCTCAAGCCAAAAGAAAGACTAGTTGATCAACTCCTAGAGTGTATTGCATTGAATTAGTTCAATGCACCATCTCCATGATTTCCTCCTCTTCTTACATCTTCAATTAGTTCACCTACAACCTGTATCCTATATTAGTTGGCACACAAACCTAAATGAACTTGGACGTGCAAACCATAATAATAACAATAATAAATGGACTTGCAGATCCAAAACAAATTAAGAACTCGCAAGCTCATAAAACGACAAGAATAAAATTAACCATTCAACACATCTACATAATCGAGTCCATTGTCATCCACTAAATCAAATCGAGCTTTTTTCGGGATCTAGGCATATCTCGTAAGAGCAGGTTGAAGCTAAACCTAAAAGTCTTTTCGAGAGGAGTTGTTTGTCTTGGGGGGTAAGGAGAGCTGCTCTCCGACCCGACCATTCAATCCTATTGAATGGAGTCAGGGCACCGCTCGCTCCGCTTTGAAAAAAAAAATAGCAAGCAAAAGGGCAGCCATTTGTTTTGAAATCCATTCGATAGGAAGTATAGGATGGAAGTTGCAGGTCAAGGTAAATGAAAGAGACAAAACACAGGACCCCAGGAAAATCAGTGGGTTGCCCCCACTTTGACTTTTTGAATTCAAAGGAAAAAGAGAATAAGAAGAGTCCTCGTCTATCTGGTGTTTCATCCATTTTAGGTTCTAGTTGGGTCAAAAATTGTTTAATGATTCTACTATTCTCTGTGTGTTGTGAACTCCGTATAAATGCATTCCTATATAATATCTAATATTACATGTAAACACGTTTCAAGAATCTTGCAATTATAGTAAGCTAAACTCATTTAGAGAAACGGACTGAAATAATTAATTAATCATAGTAATCAATTAACTTAATTAGAATGTTTATTTAATTAAAATCAAATTTTAACTAAATATCGAGTTAGAGTCCAACTCTTATTCCGCAATTATAGGGCAAAACTATTTAATTAAATCAAATTCTAATTAAACACCAAATTAGAACCCAACTTTAATTCTAAAATTTGGGGAAAACTTATTTAACTAAAATCAAATTTGAATTAAATAACAAATTAGAGTCCAACTCTAATTCCGAAGTTCTTAAGGCGAGACAATTTAGTTAAAATCAAATTCTAATTAAATATCAAATTAGAGGCTAACTCTAATTTCAAGAATATGCCCCTATCTGTCATCCCTTTTTTTTTTTTTTTTTTTTTCAAATTTTAATGGCTGGAATGATTTTTTTTTTTTTAAAGAATGTGTGGTTGAAAAAGAATAAAAATTTTCAATTTATGTGTAATATTATTTTGTGGGAGGTTGTGTGGTTAAAAATAAGAGAGAGTTAAAAATGAAAGAGAATGGGGGCCAAACGGGGTTTATATTATGGTGGATAATTTAATTGAAATCAAATTTTAATAAAATACTAAATTAGAGTCCAACTCTAATTACAATTTAATTAACATTTTAATTTAGGATAAAAACTCCAAAATAAAATGAAATTCAATTTAGGGCCAAAGTTTAATATTTAAGTTAAAATCCAATTTTAACGAAAATATATAAAATCATCAAATTTAAATATAAATTTAAATGGGTCAAAGTTGAAATTTATGGTCAAAATTCAAATTTTGGTCAAAACCCATTTGAAAATCATTTTAAAACCATTTAAAAATTTAAATTCAAAACTCTTTGAAAATTGCAAATTGACCCCTGATTTAAAATTACAAACAAAGCCTCTCAATTTCATAAATTGCTGAACAGACCCCATTTTTAAAAATTGCAACCTGACCCATATAGAAATTACAAAGCAAGGGCTCGCAAATTCAAAAACTGCATTTGAAGCCCCCACTCCCAAGTCAACCCTAATCTTCTCGACTTTCCTTAATCTAAGTTTCTTTCTCCCTTTTCACTTGCGATGCCAACCTCACTTGGCCATTTCAACATTTCGGTTGAGCGTCTCTGTATCAGCGCCCACATAATCTCAAATATGGGGCAGTGCACGGTGCTGCAAATGCAGCAGCCTATGAGTAGCGGTGCTAGTCGCCACTAGCAGTGGAGCAGAGCCCACTGTCATCGCAAAAAGCAACAGGTCTACTGCTTCATTGTGCCACTTCTATCGATGGCAACTGATGCTGCTAGCAGCATCGTTAGCCGTGGCATAACTGACACGATCTGTTTTCAATCCAAAAAAAATTATTTTCTATTCAAAAGCAAGATTTTTAAGGATGGAAAAATAATTTTCTAAATTGCTAGATTCAAGAAAAATATGAACAATCAACTTTTGATTGTTCCAAGATGCAAAACAGTTTCTAAGAAGTACAAAGTAGGCTCTGATATCACTGTTGAAAATTTACTTAACATGCACAGCGAAAATTAAACAGAGTTTTTAATTCTTACCATGGATATTCTTTGTGCTTAAAGAGGAACTGTGACAGGAATTATAACTTTTGTAGATTCTGCATACTTCTTTGCTGATTTTGGAACCACAACAATCACGATCTGCAATTCACACATGTCCAATTGTCCAGCCTTCAATAGAAATCCACATATGGAACAAGAAAAAGAGAATTAAGGTTTCTCTTTTCTTATGCTAACAAGATAATGAATTGTGTTCTGTTCGTTTTTTTGAAACCCCAATAGCTTATTAATGTAAGTCGAAGTGGGCTTTGTTAGTCTCTTAAACTTAACCAGGTCCAATATTTAGTTAATCTAATTAATTAAATTTGGACCATAAATTAATTAATCCAATTAATTAGTTCAGACCTATTGACAACCAACCCAATTAATTAATTGTCCAACAGTTGTTAATTAATTAATTATTGAATCTCATTCTTTTAGTTCTCCTTTTGTGTGTGACCCATCTTCTCGATCACGATACCTAGCAATGTGAATTATTATTTTAATATAATCAAAATCGAGAAATTAAAATACCCTTTTTTAATTTATCACCAATTGACATTCATCGTCCCAAATTGACATCTAGCAATGTATCGGGACAATGCATGTGACGAAAAATGTCACGTGATATGACAAAATCAAACTTGTTCGTTTATCTTGAAACTATAACTCTTTCATTAATATGATACGATCCATTACGAGATATTGATATGTGTCAGTCTCAATTATCAATCATATCTTTCATTCCATTATTAAGTCAATGTATGTTGAAAAGAAGTTTTCGATGCACCTTGGCCAAGGATTTTATTATCAAGTTAACTGAATGAAATGTAGATCATAATATCTTATTATCTAAGAGTGACAAATCCTCTATTGATCATTCACAACTTTCATATGATTCTTATATACTCGGACAATGCCGTATTAGCGACCTTAGTAGAGCAACAT